CATTACCGTAATTTATACAAATAGAATATTAAAAATAGAATTTTATCCAACTTACTGTACTTTTTCTTATTTTTATTTCTTATTTTTTATTTCTTATTTATATTAAATATTTTCAATTAATATTATATGAACAATTTGTTTTTAATTGACCAAAAATAATTACAAATATGACATAAATTTTTGTATTATAAAAAATATGTCATAAATTATTATATTTACTAACTAATTATACCAAATCAAATAAATTACATGTTTTTAACTAATTTATAATATTTTTACAATATGTTAATAAATGTCAAAAATATTCATTATATAAATTAATTTAATTTAATTGTGGTATGAATAAAAAAAAATCTACTTTTATTAAATATCCTTTTTTAACTCTATTTTGCTAATTTTTTACATTAAATAATTTCAATTATTACTTAACATAATTTGTTACCAAATTTATCAAAATAATTACAATAATAACAATTTATTACATTACCATAAATTTATATTTCAAAGTTTATATTTACTAACTATTTATACCAACAAATAATTGTTATGTCATTTTTTCAAAAATATTAAAATTTAATAATTATGTTAATACATATAAAAATAACTAATTACAATTATTTCATATTTTTAACTTAACTATATAAATAAATGTAGATTTTATTCTCAATTACTCAAAATTAAAGATATATTTATTAAAATTGTAATCAAATTTAAATTCAAAATTAAATTTAAAAATTAACAAAAATATTATACTTATATTTAAATTGTGAGTTTTCTCTAAAATATATATCCTTAAATCCAAAGTAAAATCTTTAACTATCTTCAAAAATAAATTAAAAAAATTACAATCAATATTATATTTTTCAACTTTTTTCACCTTACTTCAAACCTCACAACCCACCCTTTTTCTTTCTTCTCTAAGACCCTTCTTCAGAATTCTCCTTCTTTCTCACACAATTTCACTTTGTCCCTCTTCTCGCGCATGGTTTTTGCTCAACCTAGGGTGACATTTATAGCACCAAAACTTGTCACTGACGATTTTTTATTCACTCATGCTTGCAGAAAACAGTGATTTTTTCAAGGATTCCTTATGCAAAAATGGCGATTTTTTTAGATCTTAGAGATGTCTGACAAGTATGAACAACTACAGTGGTGAGTGGAATAGACTTCCCAGGTCAAAGACAACTACAGTGGCAAGTGGAACAGACCTTTCTAGGTCAAAGATCGCTAGTGGCAATTTTTCAAAATTCAGAGATGCTTGATAAGCGTGAACAACTACAGTGGCAAGTGGAACAAACTTCCCAGAATCAAAGCCAACTACAGTGGTGAATGGAACATACCTCCCTAGGTCAAAGATCGTCAATGGCAATTTTTCAAAACTCATAGATGCTTGACAAGCGTGAACAACTACAGTGACGAGTGGAACAGACTTCCCCAGGTCAAAGATCGCCAATGACGATTTTTCAAAACTTAAAGACAACTACAATGGCGAATGGAATAGACCTCCCTAGGTTAAAGATTCCAATGGTGATTTTTCAAAACTCAGAGATGCCTGACAAGCATGAACAACTGCAGTGATAAGTGGAACAAAATTCCCCAGGTCAAAGATTGCCAATGGCGATTTTTCATATCTCAGAGATGTCTGACAAGCATGAGCAACTACAGTGGCGAGTAAAACAAACCTCCTCAGGTCAAAGATCACCAATGGCGATTTTTCAAAACTCAGAAATACCTGACAAATGTGAACAACTATAGTGGCGAGTGAAACAAACCTCCCCAGGTCAAAGATCGTCAATGATGATTTTAGAACCTTTAGACTCTATTAATGGCATTCACATTATTGTAGAAGTGTTGCAAGTCCTTCAAACACCATTAATGGCGTTCAAAGGTCGTCAATGGCAACTTTTCAGGCATCTTGAGAGCTCAGAGTTAGGTCATTCAAGTCTGCAAGTTGCAGTTTTTCTTCTGTTTCATGGAAAAATCGCCAATGGCATTTTTTGGAAGATCATATTCACGTATATTTGCAAAAAAATATCATATTTTATGTATTCTATTTATGTGTTACCATATTTAAATTATTCATCCCTCTTTCGTACTCAAGAAGATAACATATGATGAATTAGATTTTTGAATTTTCGTTCACCAAGCTTTATATTTTTTTAGCATAAACTATGAACAATATTTGGAAAATCATTCACAACATATCTATTATCTCAATAATTAAAAAGGGTATGAACATGTATAAAGTTATTTTGCCTGAAAATTTTTGTTCAAAACTAATCACGGAATATTTATGCATTATTGATGAGAATGCCTTTTTATGAAGATGATCTATGGTACTTATGGTGTGTATCATCACTCCATTATTATCCAATCTTATTTCCCATATTCAAGATGTTCAAATTTTTGAATAATCTACACAATGAGTCTTCACTCTTGTGGAAGTTCTTAACCTGGTATCAACCTATACCAATATGGAAGAAAGATATACAAGGTGAAATGGAAAAAATTGTGATCTAGAAAGAAATGGATGAATCAATTAATTAATGACCAAAGAATATTTTAGTAGTAATAATTCATAGGCCATATTTCCAACATCTCCCATCAAGATTGCTTTATACTCAAAATCAAGTCATGATTTAGGGAACATTTCCTAATCTCAGAACCTTTACTCAGGATGATCACCCACCTTTTCATCAAGCTCATCTTCACATCATTAATGGTACATATGGAGATATGAGGAAGATAAATTCCACCTGTAACAATCTCAAACAGATGGAAGTACTATTGAACAAGTACTTCCACCAATCAATGTATCTAAAGAAATAACAGTGAACCTAAATGACACAAAAGGATAAATCTTCATTTGCCAACGAGATGAGTCATCCAAACAGGATATCATATAAGATTCTCAAGATCTAGATGAATTCATTCTTGACAAAATTGGATGGGAATCCAATGAAGACCCCAATTTCTCTCTTAGTGATAAACCTATATTTAAGGACTAAATAATTCACGTATCAGTGTGGTTTTGTCTTTTCAATGTACTTAAAGTTCCTTTAGATTTTTCTAAAAGTTAAAAGGGTGTTTAGTGAAAGCATCTTATGTCTGATGCTTATCTGAATGGAATAATGTTATTTATCATTTTCTCTTTTTGATCTATTATATATAGGGAGAAGTTGGTTTGTATGGATCATCAAAGTTTGAAATAAAATTTGAGTGTTTGCTAAATATAAGTTCTTGCTAAATTCTCTTCTAAAAGCTTTATTTATTATGCCTATTCACTAGTCTCTGACTAAAAACAAGTATGCTCTACACTTGCCTCTTTATGAGGATCATGTGTATAAGAACACTTTGTTACTATTGTTCCAATTGCTACAGTCTTTTCTATTATTATTATGATAAGTTTATTGATCTTGTCTTTGAGAAAAATGCATATGGAATGCTCAGAGAAGATTATGTAGGTTTATCATTATCATGATATAGAAGGCTCCTAGCCAGTATTAATGACAAATCTTTAAATCATTTTTTAAAGGATGATAAATTTCCAATCCCCAAAACGTCTACTTTTTTTGCATAATAGCTTTTTTTTTTTTGGCAAATGAAGCATCTTTGACTTTTGTTTTTCCCTCTCAGAAGAATTACTAAATTTTTCTGAAAACTTACTGTCAAACAAATTCAACAATTTTTAAGAATGCTTTATTATATTTTGATTTTTATTATTATAATACTATTAATTAAAATTAGTATTTTTATGTATTATAATAATAAATATTAAAATGTAATAAAATATTTATATAAAGATTAAAACAAATTTTTTAAAGATTTATAAATTAATTTATAAAAAATATAAACTATAAGAATTAAATATATATTTTAATTGAGTGATATTTGTTTTTGGTATGGATCAGTTTTAAAGTTTAAATTATTACTGTTCTTTAAAAATTGAAATGGATCACAAGTCTTTTCATATGATTTGAATAACTAATTTATTGATAATTTGCTCTTATTTAGCAAAGTGCACAGAACAAAAGAACCTATTTGTCATATTACTTAGTTTAATATGGACTCCCTTTTGTACTTGAGAAGATACTATATGATGAATTAGATTTTTGCATTTTTGTTAATTTAGCTTCATATTTTTTTAGCATAAACTATGAACAATATTTGAAAAATCATTTACGACATATCTATTATTTCAATAAATAAAAGGGTATGAACATATATAAAATAATTTTGCCTGAAATTTTTTGTTCAAAACTAATCACAGAATATTTATCCTGGATTTAAGGAAGAGTATTATTATATCTTCCTAAATCATCTTGCAAATAAATAATATTTCTAATACTTATTAAGAATAATAATTAGAAATTGTTGATTTTAAGATCTTAAAAAACCTCAAATGTTTTTTTTGTTTAGTAAGAATCATTAGAAAAAACTTGGTCAAGAAAATGTAAAATTTAGTAAACTTGTTTTGTTTTCAAAATAACTTGTAATTAAATATTTTGTGAGAGTTTGATTTTTTTCTTTGTTGCATTCTAAAGTGATGAGTGCATAATTTGCATACTTGACATAATAAGTAAAAATCATCTTAGGCCAAAATCCATTTTCATTATATAACTACGGATTGGCAAAGAACTTTAAGGAAAACAAATCTAATAATTTCCACAAAAGCACTGAGCCTGTAGTTTTAATTTTGTAATACTGATTTTAGCAAAAAGTGAATTTAAATTGTGAAAACTTTTAGCTTCAAAATAATTTTGTAGCAAATTTTAATATGATAAAATTATCAACTCAATGTAAAAATTACTTTGTGCTTTTGAATAAAAATAAACAAATTGTGATTTAGAATAACTTTACATACTTCAAAGGTGGATTTGAGGTTCTTCAAGACATATCCAAATAAAAGTATATGTTTTGTTTATCTGGGTGTTCCTAAATGTAGTAAGATAGAGTAAACTTCTAATTCTATTAAGAGAAGCATAACTTTTTCCGACTTCATGTTCTTGTTGAAGTTTCACATTCCCCATTAAAGGACAAAGAGCAAGTTTACAACCTTTAATTATGATTTTGTTTCAAAACTTTATAAACCTGCATCTCTTGATTAAAAAAATCACATCATTCATGAACTGATGTGCTTGTAAGCCTACAATGCAATATATTTATCTTCAAATAGACATTTCAAATAATACTTCCATCCAAGAGAGACATTTTAAATTGTTAGCCTTTTGGAATGGTTAGGTTGGTCCTCACATCATGTAACTGCTAATTTTGTGGAGCAGTTTCCTCGTGTAATTCTAGATGTGTTGTTGACAGGACAGAAAGACAAATCGTGAGAAGGAGAAAAGCATCTTGTAGTACTTGTTGTTGGGGTGGGGTATTTTGTATTTTGTGCAAGATATTGGCATTCTAAGTAGCAGCGAAAAACGATAATGAGTATTGCTGAACCACTGAACCAGGAGATTTCTTTTAAACAAATGAAATCATCCAATACACTAAATCCATTACAATATGCAAGCCTTACCCTTTATTTTCTGAGATGTATCCAATACACTAACATAAGAATTACTCGTGAGAGTGGTTGGAATTACTCCCAGACTTAGTGGGGAAAAAGTGAAGAAAGAAAAAGAACTAAACAAAGCCACCATTGACCCTAATGATTTGACCGTTGACCCATTCACCCCCATCAGAGGCCAAGAAGGCCACAACAGGGGCAATGTCTTTGGTCTCACCAAGCCTTTCCATTGGATTATCTTGCTTAATCCTATTCACAATCTCCTCCGTCTTCCCCTCAAAGAACAGCTCCGTCGCCACCGCTCCTGGCGCCACGCAATTCGCCGTTATCTGCGTCCCCTTCAACTCCTTCGCCAGAATCTTAGTCATCGCCTCCACCGCCGCCTTCGATGCAGCGTATGCGCCGTACCCCGGCCTCAGCGCCGCCACCAGCGACGTTGTCACCAACACGATTCGTCCTCCGCCGCCGCGCTTCAACCGGTTCGCCGCCTCCCTCGCGCAAACGAACGCACCACGCGCGTTCACCGTGAAGATGCGGTCGAAGGATTCCACGGTTGTGTTGGCGATTGAGGGGTACGCTGTGTCCATGACTCCGGCCGAGTTGACCAGGATGTGAACCGGCGAGTCGAATGCGCTCTCGGCCGAGTCGAAGAGGGACTTCACTTGGAGCGGGTCGGATACGTCGGCTCGGACGGTGACGGCTCGCGGCGTGGCGGAGTTGGCGTTGATTTGGGCGGCGACTGAGTCTGCTTGGTCGGAGTTGGAGGTGTAGTTGATGACGACTCGGGCACCGAGTGAGGCGAGGTGAATCGCGATTTCTCGACCGATTCCACGGGACGAGCCAGTGACTATTGCGACTCGGTCTTGGAGCGGTTGAGATTGAGATTGGGGAGTAGCCATGGCGTATTTTATCAGCTCGTGTGGGGTTGATTCTAAGGTGCGCTGCAGGTTGTTTTCTGGGGTCTCTAATCAGAACGCCAATTTGGCTTCTCTCTGAGCATGTTAATGATAAACATATATAGAGTAGAAGGAAAAGTTAATAGATAATTTTTTATTGATTTCTTAGATTTAAATACTAGTAATTGACGGATTGCGTAAGGTCATACGTCATACAATCGATGCATTTACTGAAATACGATTGAAAATTGTTCATCTTTATTTTGAAAATTTATAAATGAACACTTTATTTTTTTTATAGTACGACGTTGAAGAAAGAGATATGAAATTAACAGGAAATAAAAATATAATAATATAACAGAATTTAAAAAAGAAAATTTATTATTATTTTATTTTTTTCCGTGTCCTTCTATCGTTTAATTTTTTACCCTACATGATCACAATATTAATAATTTATATTTACATTATAAATTTAAGCATTTATTTTAAATAAAAATATTAGGTGTTATTCGTTTTTATATCATTATGCGTGTTAAGATATTTCTCTCATGTTAATTTAAAATATGGTCACGATATTTTGTAAAGCTACGTATTTATATCGACTAAAATACGGTCAAGATAAACAATTCTTCTCTCTTGAATTTATTTTTTAACAGTAAAATATGTCTTATATTTTCATATGATATTGAATCTTATCTTATTCTAATGTTAAGACACTTGGAAAGTTCTAGTCTTAAAAATAAGGGAGTGTATTAAATGTCTAATATGCTTTTAATAACATTACTTATCTTAAAGTAAAGAAAAATGTTTTGTTAAGATAAAAAAAATGATTATGATTTTAATGAAATTTTATTTAAAATTAATTTTAAATTTTTAAATTTTGATATATCATATTAAATCAAAAACATAGAAGTAATATATTTTAATTCAAACAACTTATTTTAATAACTTCTTCAAATTTATAAATTGTATTTCTTTAATTTATTTTTATATAATAAAATATTCATCATTTACAAGAAATATATCTCTTTTAATATTTTTTATCTCCTTTAAAATATTTATTTTCTTATATTTAATAGTAGCTATATATTTTTAATCTTCGTTGAGACAAAAATCCACAAATAATTTATTATTATACATTTAACTTAAGAATAAAGAAATTTTGAAAGGTCAAGAAATTTGACTTCCGACTTTTTGAAATAACATTTAAAATACTAGTCATTTTTATCTAATTAAAAAACCCTTCTTCAACTTACCGGAATATATTTTGTTCCTTTTTAGTCGTATCTTTTGGTTTAAACGTGTTTTCCTCTACCATTCAGAGAACGGAATCCTAAAATATTGACTATGATTTCATTTTTAAAAAATGTTATGATTGGTCCAATTTTGAGTTTTGACACTTATAAACTTTGATTAATACATTAAATTAGTTACAAAAATTATAAATATTAGAGCATCTAATATTATACAATATTATTTTAGTTTTTAACAGTTATTAAATATAATTTATTTGTGTTTATTATTATAAGAGAAATGCTAGACACATTATTTAACACTTTTTTAACATATTCTTAATCATTAGTTAAAATTTATTAAAAACTACAATAAGTATAAGAATAAATAAGAACAGCTTACACTCTTACACATTCAGGAGAGTAAGTAATTGAGACCTTACTTTGCCTCGGACATGAACAGCTTACACTCTTTGCCTTTTGGCATCAAATTCTATCAATATCTTTTCAAGGAATTGCGTTGATAAGCTGTTATTATGGTTCAGCCTTACAACTGTTTAATGTATAAGGTATAAATAATATTTAAATATATTTTTAGTTCTCGGATTTTTATTTTTTTTATCTCTACTCTTTCACGAATTATTATTTTTATTCTTTTAACTAAATTGTTCTAACTAAATCTGACATTTGACCGCATTTAAGCGTGTGATATCAATAAAAGAAACTAAAACAAAAATTAATAAAAAAGTAAGATAAAAAAATATATATTTTAAAAAATTAAAATAAAAGATTTCATTGAAATACGAAGATAAAAAATGTATTTAAAATTATAAATAATTTGGCTAAAATCCAAAAAAAAATTACAAACTAACCGAAAGTGAAAGAAAGTTTAGTTTTAACAAAGTATATAAATGGCTATTTATCTTCAAAGAAAGGTTAAAAATTTTCAGAGAAAAAATGAAGACCAGAGCATGCAAACAGTAGTTTTCCACAGTTGACCCGAGTCCACATCCAGATTATTCGTGCAATTTTTACAAAAATAATTTCGTAGAAAGCATTTTCCATGTACATTGTACAATTACAAAGCACCCCACGCCCATACGACAGCGTTTGGACTATTTCATCTCCCTGCTTCTGAACAACAGAACAAGCAAGCTTCCTTCTAGGGCTCGCAATCGCAAACCCTAACCCCTCATCAATTGCGATAATTATTCTCCCAAATGGCAATTGCACGCACCGGAGTCTACGTTGACGACTATTTAGAGTGTAATATTTTTTTTTCCATTTCCACCAATTTTTCTATGATTTTGTTTTTTCGATTTTGTTGCTCATTTTTCCATTGCAATAGACGCCAGCACATTGCCCGCTGAGCTTCAGAGGCTGCTCAACACCGTCCGAGAACTTGATGAACGATCCCAATGTATCACTTTTATTTTATTCTTTCTCCTTTTTTTTATATATATATTTTCTATGTTGATAAGTATTTTTATTTTATTTTTTTACGTTTACATTTTCGTATCTCTTGATTGTTTTTGTAATATTTATTAATTTTTGTTTTGGTTTGTGGTTTTGTGGTGTGATGGAAGCTATGATAAATCAGACCAGGCAGCAGACAAAGTACTGTATGGGATTCTCATCACATGGTTCTAAGAAGGGTAATCACAATTATAATAACAATTATGTGAATGAGGATGATGATGCTGCTATGGAGAAAATGCGAAAAGAAATTGAGGCAAATCAGGATAGTGCATTGAGTCTATGTACTGAGAAGGTTTTATTGGCGCGACAAGCATATGACCTGGTGAGCTTTCTTTAATTATTATGTCCCTAACTAAAATTTTCATGACTTGGAAAAGAGAATTTAATGTATACTGCATATCAGGCTAATTGGCAAACCCTATTATAGAATGGTCAATTGGGATAAAGCTTGATATAACAGTTGAAGGAAGGGACCAAGGGCTTTAGATTTGTGAATAAAATGTTATTATAATGATATCTATGAATAGGGGAAAGCCTTGCTGATAATGTGATTAAATTGTTTTCAAAATAAGCTTGAACGTATAATATTATGTCAATTTACATGACTGAAGACGATAATGGGTATGGTTCTAAGTTTTGATCATGTATACATGCATAATTAGGAAAACGGTGCTTTGGGTTGATTCGGAGGTAAGGTGCACTTTACTCTTTAATGACAGCTCTTATTCGGGAACCCAAGTGGATATTTTGGCATTTTTCTTCTTACTTTTATGCATACAAGAAACATCTTACAGCTAAAGTTTACAAGTTCAAATCTTTTTGTATTTGCTTCAGATTGATAGCCATGTAAAACGACTTGATGAGGATTTAAACAACTTTGCTGATGATTTAAAGCAAGGTAAAATGACCATGTATTTTGCATACTGATTTATTTTGTGTTGTATATGTGCAACTTATATTTCCAAAATCAACCTAAGTTAGTATAATGTGCAACTCTTACTGTTATATTGATTTTGGTTAAATTATTTACCGGGAAAAGTATTTGGTGAAGCAAGCATATTTATGAGGGAAATGGTTATATCTTCACCTCATTATCAATGGGACAATGTCCCTCTAGGCTATACCTAAAAGCAGCAAGTTTATCTAATGTTTCTCGAAAGTATACATAAATATGTTGGTTTCATTGATGCCAATAACTAGTATATTTGAACTTTGAGGTAAAATAATAAGCGGGATACTGCATAATTTGGGGTTTCTGGACCTTTATAAAGTAGCATGTTGTGCATCAGAAAGAGGGCAAAACAAGAGGTTGTTTTCACATGTAGGGAGCTTTATTATTTAAAATTCCATTTCTAAAATATTTCTTTTTTTTCTTCTCTAAATTGTTTTTGAAGTGTTTGGTGTACCTAGTTGGAAAGAAATGCTAGAATTTTTGTGGTCCATTGTTGCCTCTTGAGTTCATTTGGGATCCAGTAGTTCACTTAGCTTCTTTGTGGTGTTCTGCTAATAGTTCGTTTAGGGGGCTTACCATCTTTTTTTCTTCTTCTCCATTTATTTGTCAGAGGGGAAAATACCACAAGATGAACCAGCAATTCTTCCCCCAATGCCTATAGTTCCTAAAGTCGAAAAACGCAGGCCCATATATGTAACTCCTCAATCAAGAAGACTTGATTACAGGGATAGAGATTGGGATCGGGAGCGTGATAGGGACTTTGAGCTAATGCCTCCACCAGGAAGTCATAAGAAGGAGTATGCAACCCCTATGGATGTTGATCAACCCATTGATCCAAATGAACCTACATACTGTGTTTGTCATCAGGTTGTGATTTGTTGTTCATAGTATATCATATAATTTAAATCTTCTTGTGAACAATTGTGTCATATTGTCATCTGTTTTTGCTTAAGGTGTTCAAGTAAGAAACTGATTATTCTGATCATTCAGGTATCTTTTGGAGATATGATTGCTTGTGACAATGAAAATGTAAGTACATTTTAGTTTGCTCTCTCTTGCACTAACTATATTTCACTCACCTCTTTCTTGTTTTGGGGTAAGTTGGGTTTGGAACAATGCAAATTATATGTAATCTCTCCACATCAAGTGTAATGGCCATTTGTTGGTCATTCATTTGGAATTTTGTACCTCTTTTGAAGGCTTAGATACAATAACAAAATTCTGCCATGGACAATATAAAATGTGTAAGATAATATTGTTCATGGAGTCACATAAGGGTATGATGTAACTTAACATTAACTATCTTACAGGTTACAATGAGGCATGTAACTTAATATTGTTTGGGATCGCTTTTGTTAGAATTTTTTCTACTTTGATCTTAAAGCATTTAGATTGACTTAAAAGGTAGGTCAGGAACTGTTTCTTTAATCCCCCATCCCCACCATAAGAAAACTGTTGGATGGTGTATGGCCCATATTCACCTGGGTTAACTACTATATGCAGACATTCAGTGATTCTATAGATTATATTATATCCATATTGTAGCAAGAAACAACATATATAGCTTTCTCCTACCAGATTACTGATGAATGTTTATACCTTGAGTTTTCAGAAAGCCCACTCCCGCCCCGGATTATTGTGTTTTAGTTTTGATTATTCGATTTTCTATTTTATGATATTGTGTTTTACACTTTTATTGAATGACTTTTTTGGTTTCTCCCCGTGGTTGTTTTGACTCTGAACTTGAATATGTTTCTCTTGATAGTGCCAAGGAGGTGAATGGTTCCACTATTCATGTGTTGGCCTAACACAAGAGACAAGGTTCAAAGGAAAGTGGTATTGTCCGACTTGCAGATTACTCCCACAATGTCAATGATCAATCTATGGACGAGCTAAACTACTACATAAATAGCCGCTATTGGTACAATAGGAATGCTACTTTCTAGTGAATGCATAATTTTGGGGTTGTGTCATGATTAATGGGCTAAGTTTTTGTTGCATATCCTCTTTATACCCTTCCCCCACCCTTCTTAGAAATTACATGTGGGGTTCGAATTATTCGTCTTCTATATTGCTAGGCCAGTTGTATTTGGCGGAGGCCAAGTCTCAGGCCTTGTATAAAGTCGTCTTAAAATTTGCACGATTCTAGATTTGAATTTTGAAGGTTACTTGTATGTGAAATGCCGAAGTATAAGGACGCTAACCGTGCAAGATATTAGTTTGGAAACCTCTTCTTAGGTGAGAGTGGATCAGAGTAAAGAATTAACCTAAATTTACAGTCAGTTCATGATGACACCACGTACGCCTACTGGTAAATAAAAGGGATGGCAACTTTGAAAGACAATTGAACTAAGAAAGTTTATTCATCTCACTACCCAATATTCAAATGTTTTTATCTTTTGACAGAAGATGGTCTGGTGGCATGTACTCGTATTTGACCGCAGAGCTAATATAACAAAGGGAAAAAAAGTGTGTTTAGATTGGATTATTTTAAAAGATTAAGATCATGTTTGTTTTCTATTTTAGAAACAGTTTTTTGATTTAAAAAATATAATATAATATAAATTTATATTATATTATATTTTTTAAAATAATAATTTATTTTTAAAATGGAAAAAATCATACTCTAAATCTTTCCATAAAAAAATTTATTTGTTTAATATTGATGAAAATCATAATATAATTTTAAAATATTTCTATTACAAAGGAAAAATATTTTTCAAGTATGCAATATTTTAAAAAAATGATCAAAAGTTAGTAATTATCTTCCAGTTAACTTTTATTGTTTTTATTTTATCCTTAATTAATTAATTTAGATGCAAAATTAACTATTACAAATAATTTTGTTTTTTTTATTATTATACTTAATAGTTGATTGTTTCAATCAATTTAAATAGAAAATTATTTTATAATTATTTTTCACCCAACATGTAAATATCAAATTTAATTTACATAATTAATTGTAATAATAATAAATTATTACCATAATAAAGTATTGGAATAATTTCAAAAAATAAATATTCTTTGTTGTGAAAAAAAAAAATTAAAACACAAAATCAGTGGCATGCAACTTTAAGAGAGACAGGGCGCGTGTTTCAAATGAACAGCACACAAAATTTAAAGGCGGGAAACGGACCCTACCAAATGATTTGACGAAGATCGGAGAGAGTACTTCGCGGCAAAGAGTAAACAAGACAAAATTATAGTCCCCACCATCCAATTCACGATATTGCCCTTTAACCAACATTTTATATCTTTTTTAGAAAAACAAAATTGTTATTTCAAATGCGCAAATTATTTATTAATTTATGTTTAATGTTAAGAGATTTGCCATCATTTTGGGCCATAATTGATTAATCATTGAGAGCAAAATTTTTGTTGTTAACAACACACAATGGACATATCCACCAGAAGGAAAATAATGGAATTCAATATGACAAAAATTTGCACCAGAATAACAATTATTTGTCTTTTGACTACCCTTTTTTTACATCCTATCGTTTTGTTTATTAAGTGGGCAATGTTGTAGTTAATACTAATTAATCAGGATACTTTCTTTTTTTTTCTTTAAAATATTTTATTTAACTAAATAATATTTTTCTAGGCTTATTCACTTAATATCAAAATTATATTGCCGTATCATTGATTACTAATTAAAATATACAAGAGCTTGATTCCGATCCTCTGTTGTGAAAATTATCAACAAATTACAAATTGACATATTCAAAAAGTTATTGCTGTGATAGTAAAAAAGTGATGCGATGATACATAATTATTTGTTAATATAGAAGAATTTAATACATCAACATGACATTAATTTTGTTTTTAAAAATTTTAAATGCATTTAACTAAAATCTCGTTGTTTATAATTCTCTTTTTGTACTAAAAAAATCTGTTTCGTTTTAACATTTAAAGCTATTGATTAAAATTATTATATCCATTTTGAAATATTAGCCGTTACGGTTTTTGTATAAAGATAAACAAAATTACCAAAAACTCTCAATTCAAAAACAAAAGTGCTTGCGTTTTACTAAATTACTTTCTCATTTTATCAATACTTCTTCCTGTTTAACTTTGCAAGAATACCAAAAGATGATGATATTTTTGTTGAAAAATAAATATTCTGAATTTCTTAAAACCAATGTTATTAACACAATGAGGGCATTTTCGGAACACAAAATTTTGATTTATGTGGGACCACATTGTGAAGGATAGCGGCGTAATTTGAATGAACAAATTTTGAATATCGAGGAGTTGAATTTAGTCACTGTTGTGGTCACTCTGTCACTGCTTCTTCATTCCCATTTCTTTGCCACCTTTCTCATTCAACAACGCAATCTCAGCATCTTCTTCTCTACGCCAAGGTGAGTTTTCTATCTCAAATTTCCAACCTTTTCCATGTCCACTACTTTATACTCATCACTTCAAAACAACCATGGATATCTGAATGTACATATTTTCATTTGAAGAAGGAAAGGAAAAGAAACAGAATCGACCCTTCTTTGGAATGCCCCCAAAAAGATTATGTTTTTGTGTTTATTGATTAAAGATTCAATATTAGGTTTATGACCCATTTGCGGTAATGATCTTATTTTTGAATTTTGTTAGGTAAAGTTGTGAACTTTATTAACCGTTATGCTAGTGAAACCCTGCAATGCCTAAAATGAGATCTCTTACTGCAATGTCCTTGGAATGTTGTTTGCACGTTGTGCTTTTGATTATTGTTAATGTTGATGATAGTGTCTGTTTGGTTGCTGTAGTTCAAGAAATGGGAAGATGTCTCAGCCCTTTGGTGCGGCAAGAGCTTGCAAATTTAGACAAAGATGAAGATAGTCGCAAATCTGCAATGAAAGCATTGAAGTCATATGTGAAGGATTTGGATTTTAAGGCCATTCCTGTCTTTCTTGCAAAAGTTTCTGAGACCAAGGAAAGTAGCTCCTTGTGTGGTGAATTCACAATTTCAATCTATGAAGTTCTTGCGCGGGTTCACGGTGTTAGAATTGTTCCCCTGATAGATAGCATCATGGGAACCATAGTCAAGACTCTGGCTTCAAGTGCAGGGTCTTTCCCTCTTCAGCAGGCTTGTTCAAAGGTGGTTCCTGCAATTGCAAGATATGGAATTGACCCAACAAGCCCAGAAGAGAAGAAGAGGCATATAATTCATTCCCTTTGCAAGCCTCTTTCGGATTCTCTCTCGAGTTCCCAAGAAAGCCTAACTTCTGGTGCTGCCCTTTGCTTGAAGGCTCTGGTGGATTCAGATAACTGGAGATTTGCTTCTGATGAAATGGTGAATAGGGTTTGCCAGAATGTTGCTGTGGCATTAGAGGGAAAGTCTGGCCAAACCAATTCTCATGTGGGTTTGGTTATGTCGTTGGCGAAGCGCAATGCTTTGATTGTTGAAGCATATGCAAGGTTACTCTTACAATCTGGACTAAGAATACTAAATGCTGGCCTTGTGGAGGGTAATTCCCAGAAGCGGCTTTCAGCCATTCAGATGGTTAACTTCTTGATGAAAAGCTTGGATCCCAGGAGCATATTCTCGGAGCTTGAATTGATAATTGAGGAGATGGACAAGTGCCAATCTGATAAAATGGCATTTGTGAAAGGTGCAGCATTCGAGGCTTTGCAAACTGCCAAGAGAATTGCAATCGAAAAAAGACCAGCAAGATATGTGAAAAGCCCTGCTTCAGTGACAGGGTCAAATTTTAGCAGGAGAGAGGAAGACTATGTGAAGGGAGAGAATACTTCTGTTGATGGAGACCATACTCCAACTTCACTTTCACCAGAATCACATACGTTGGACTTTTTCCCTGGATATGAATCTGTTGTTGAGTCTCCAATTTCAACGAACTTGGACTATGAGCGAAGGAGTGTGAATAGGAAGCTTTGGAGTAATAAAAATGGAGGGGTTGATGTCTCTCTCAAAGATGGTTTGTTTTCAGAGGCAGTGGATGAAAGTGCTTTGTTAGGACACTCGCTGAGTCGCGAGTTTTCTAATGGAAAGAGAGATTTTGCAGAGGAGTTTGCTGGTTTCACGAACAGAAATCCCACGCATGGAGTATCCAGAAGTACCACCACAAGTCCCCAAGTAAGTACATATGTCATGTTTCTGTATATCTGAGCCAATTTCAAAGTTATGTTCCCTTCCCGTGTTAACGAGAAATGGTTAATAATTGAAATCCTTTTTTTTTCTTTTTCATATTAAAGAAATGGTAACATGGCAGAATATAACAATGCCAATGGGACCATGGAATATGAACGCCTTACTAATTTTCTCCCATTCCCAAGTCTCCATCTATTGTCTAACATGTCCACTAGTTTCTTATGTTTATGTTTTTACTATGATTTGTACTAATGAGTTGATTTTCATGTAAATATTAGTAAAACCGTGATGTCTTGTCATTATACACGTTACTTTCTTTCAAATGAATAGTTGCAAACTATTTCTTCTACTCACAAGGAATTCAATGTGTCTTGCCTTTACTTAGCTTAAGATTCTTAATGCCCCATTAGTTCAAGAGCAGGTATCTGCTGCTCTATAACTGTAAATGGAAGAATTTTATCAACTTTCATCTTACAAATTTATGAAATTTAAATTCAGTTTTCGTTAAAAATGATTTGCTATCAAGCAAATCTCATCGTTTGAGTCCTTTTAATTATGTGTTCTTATGTTATGATGAATCTGCTAAATAGTCTGCAAGCATAAAAAATGAGAAAAAAATAAGTATTAGATTACTTTTAAGTTATATTAATTAAGGATATCTGAATAATTTGATTAAGATACTATTTCATTGATTTTATCATGCATTTTATTTAAAAATGAACTTATTTATGCCTTCAAGAACTATGATGCAAACAATTGGGACTTATAGTGGTAAAACATGGGTACAAAATTTCCTTAGCTGCCATGTTTCTAGTTTTAATCACTTTTGTACCCATGGAGTTAACATATTATGTTTTTCCTCTTTTAAATCAGAGGTCATGCACACAGGTTGCTGTTGACAACATAAAAATCTTTGAGACCCCTAGGAAGCTCATTTGCTGTCTTCAAGATCCAATTGATGTGACTTCAAGTTGGTCTGAGAAACAGAATAGAAGGTTCAGGACTCTATCCTCAGGCAATATTGAGTGGAGCCCGACTTCTAAATATGACCAAAATGGTTTCTCGGATCATGTGAAGTGTGATTGTGAAGTGAATGAAAGTTCATCTGCTGATGTGGAGTTCCAAGGTGGCTCAGAATCAGTCTCATCAACTGATGACCTTCCTGAGGATTATGATATGCATATGCCTCGCAAAGTGGTTCCTGAAAATGGAAATGTTAGACCAATTGATTGGATGGATAAAGCACTTCAAAGGACTAAACTTAAATTGGTTTGTGGTCTTTCATTTGTTCTTCTTGCAATGGCTACTCCTTTGCTCTGGATCAGTAGTCAGGATGAAGGCTATTATCATGTCCCTACATAACATTCTCATTAACATGTACATCTTGAGAATTAAGAGAATTTTAGGTATGCTTTGTGAAAGTAGTAGTTAATTCCAATACTGTTGGAAAAGTCAGTATAGTAGGCGATATGTTATGTTCCATTGAGTATCTTCAATGTGGATTTGTTTTCCTGGAAAATTTTTGGGAACTGTTAGACTGAATTTACCTATTAGTGAAGTGGAGATGTGAATTCTGAATTTGATTGGATCTTTTCACCATTATGTTCGATAAAATTAAGGCTGATTATGTACATCAAAAGTTTTCATATAATTTTATAAAGACTTAAATATGATTTTTGTTCATATAAATGTAGGTCATTTTGTAATAAGTCTGTAAATTTTTTTTTTAAGATTGAGTTCTTAAAAATTTAAAAATTTAGAATTTAGTTTTTACTATTAATTCTCTTTTTATTAAGTATTGAGTTAGTCAGCTTAATACTCTATGTGACATGTCATATTATTTATTATTTTTATTTAAAATTAAGATTTATAAATAAATTTTAAAATTTATTTTATAAGTCTTTTTTCTTCATTCTTTTTTCTTTTTATAAATCTTTTTTTGGCACCTCTTCTCTAGTTTGACCCTCTTCTTTCTCTCAACTTTACTCCCTCCCCTTTTGCTTCCTTATACCACCACTTTTTTTCTTTCTCCCACACTCTTGCTTTTTTGTCATCTCTTTCTCTTTCTCACATCCCATCTATACCACTCCTCTCTTCCCTACTTTCATTTCTTTATCCACATTACTCTTCTCCCCCACCTCTCTTTCCCATTCTTTTTCTTTCTTCTTTTTCATATTCCTTCCTCCAGTGCCCACACTCCCACTCCTGTCTGCACCACCCTTTCTCCTCTCTAACCTACCTTGCTGACCCCACTATTAGACCTTTTAAAATTTTAATTGTAATAAAAAGGGACTATTAAATTTCATATATGCCTTGTTCAAGAAAAAAAAAAAAAAAAAACCTAGTATGACATCAATTTATCAACATTCAGAATTAGCAAAATTTAAAAAAAAAAAAATTCAAATAGTAAATTTAAATTCCTAGGCAAACATAATTGTATGATGCAAATGATCTTTTCAATTCTACGGTGGAACATTTACACTACTTAATTGTATTTTTTATCTTATATAGTTCATGATAAATTAATAACAGAATTCTATATAAATTGTCCAATGAGAGTTTTATAAGTATAAAAGTACATTACATTATTCAAAAATATGACTTAAAAATTAGCATGAGAACAAGAATAATAAAATATTGAAATATATTTATTTGCTGTCACTTTCAATAAGGCAATAACAAACCATTAAAATTAGATTCCTGAACAAAAATAAATAAATAATTTAATCTATTTTAAAAAAATTAAATTAAAAAATTATAATAAATAATTGAAAAGTAAACATTTAAATTTTAGTAGTTAACAATGAAACTTTATATGAAAAAAGAAAAAAATCTAAAAGAAAATATATAAATATCAAAATAAAGTAAATGTTACTACTTTTTAAGGTTTGTGAGAACTTGTGTCCTCACGATATGCAAAAATACTATTTTTAATAAGAAGTTTAACAATAAGAATTATACAATACTAACAAAAGAGTAATAAAAGATTAAAAGAATGAGAACTTAAAAAAAATAAAAAAAAATTTATATAGCATATTTTGTAACCTAACAACAATTGTAGATCATGAGATGATTGTAGTGTTGTTGATTGGCTTTGACATAATAACTATATATTCTAGATAAATTGATCTTTAATCTAGAGTATAATTCTTTTAAAACAAATTGAATAAAAAATAAAACAAAAATAAAGAAGTTGGTGTCAAGAATGACACCAAAATACAAAAGTTAATTGTTATTTAGCAAAAAAATTTAATACTTATCATTTTTTTTTTCATTTCTCACCCTAGATGACTTAAACAGGACTAATATTGATTACAATCCATCTAAGTTCAAAACAAACCAATGATAATTGGTATAATGCTATATGAATAATGTCATGTAAGGAAGATGAAAAATTTTTGGTAACTTGAAAGAAATTTTACAATTACATGTGTTGTCTCAATCTATAGAATTAGGAGGACCAACCAGCCCTGAAAGTAGTTTTCATAACTTGAATCATCAAATTCAAGCTTTTCAAATATTGTTTGAAACTTTTCCATAACATCAAGCATTATGTAAGTTGAACTCTATTTTATAGAACATCAAAACATATTAACTTTTGAGCTAAAATTCTAGAAAACTTAATACAATCCTTAAATTGGCAAGTCTTTGAGGTGAAGATCTCACACACTTTACTGCATTATAAATGCTTGTAATAGAGTTATGTATGTCTTTCAAACCATCATTGACACTTAGACTTAAAATATAGACACAATATTTTATGTGAAAATTTTGGCCATTTAGAATTAAACATTTTAAACTATTCAATTTCTCTCAAATATGTCAAACCGCATCATTTGATGATGCATTATCTACAGTGATTATGAATATATTCCTAAGATTGCATTTCTTAACACTTCCTTAACTTGCCTATTTATGGCCTCTCTTTTGTGGTTGGATACTATTAGAAACTTATAACTCTTTTATGATATTTTTTATTCATTATTTATAGAATCAATAGTAAGAGTCAATTACTTTAAATTTTGTATAGATGCTTGACAATTTGTGGTGAAGAAAATCCTAATACAATCATATCTAAACAAACCTTTCAACCTATCTTTCTCATCTATTTATAAACTAAAATAGTCCCTGTACCTGTAAACTATGATTGTAATTTCCTATATAAAAACTTAAAATCCTCACCATCAACTATTTTGAAAGGTTATTCATCTAACATGACAAATATAGTCAACACCATCTTATATGCTTCAAAATTAAATCTTTGACTTGCAATAACTAGATCATTATCTTATCCATTTTTAAAACTAATGACAAATTCAATAGGCCATGATTGATAGCATAATAATATTTAGGATAAACTTTAAGGTGGTTCAACATAGTGGAAGTTTAATATATTTTAATGTCACAAGAATGTGATTTCTTACAATATTTATAAAATGCAATTAGATCTTTAGCATTTAGGTAATTTAATTAAATGGTCTCATACAATTGAAGTTCCCCTACTTCTACTAGTATTTGACTTTCTTTTTTTGAATTTTTTTTAAAAAAAGGAGCTACTACAACTTTAATTGTAGTTTTTTTGCTAGAACTTGGGATTATTTCCACTACCACATCTTGTTATTATTGCAAAACCAATGGGAAATAATACTTTTTGCCATTGGTAGTGTTTCAATCAATAGTAGCATGCTTCACCCACAATCTGTTCTTCTTATTTCTACATTGTATTTCCATAATTTATTAATTGTTAGGTACAATTATCTTTTAAATTTCTCTTTTGACAGTCTTCTTATCTATAAAGCTTTAGTTATAAAAATATTAGTATAATAGTCTTCCTTTGTGTTCTTAATTATCTTTATTAAAGACATTTGTTTAACCAATTTGCCTACAACCTATTTGAAATTTGCAATCTTCTCCTTGTATGTTCTCCCGCAAGCGTGCTTATCTTTCATAGTATTCAATCTATATGTTAATGAACATCTAATTTTATTCACAAATATTGTCTGTGAATATTTTTCACTAAACACAACCCTTCTTTGTCATTCTATTTTAATTCCAATCCCCATCAAATTTTCCATAAGTACTCTTTAATTGCCTCCTTAAACTACCTTATCGAATTAAACTCAATGCTAAGCTTGAACTTGAAGCTATTACATATTTTAAAAGGATTATACTACTAATAGTAAATGCACAACCCTCACCATCACTTCCTTCATTTTTAGAAAAAAGTTCATTACTAGTGTACCCTAAATCAATATCCCTAGCTTCACTAATTTCTAATTCATAAATTTTGTTTACTATAACTTGGTATTTTATTTGGTGCATGCTCTTTTTAGTATTATAACTAGTATCCATCATATTCAAGATCTTCATTGTCACTTTAATTAATGTCTTATGTGTTATCTTCATCAAAATATTTTTCATCTATTATATCCATCTTCATTTATAATCATCATCATGTTCTCTTTCTCTCACTACATCTTCCTTCTGTATTGCATTACCATCACATTCTTATTCCATTAATACATCATATTTATCTTCATTAGGAGTCAATTGAACAAAGTGAAACTTGTCCCCTACATGCACAATATAAACTTTCAGCTCTTAGGCAAAAATACTCATAGTAGTTTTAGCAATTTCTATAGCTTGTTCATAATCATACTTCTTCACCAATCTTCCCTTAAGATGAATTCATGACTTGTGATAGAAGACTTGTACATTGCCTTTGAACCATAATCTTTTAGAACTCCAATAATTCTTACGAGAACCCTTCTTCAAAATCACATGTTATATATTTTAATCTCCCAACATAAGTTAACTAGTCTCCATTTAATTTTATTGATATTTTCAAAAGGTGTCTCCCATAATACAAGAAGACAATTAACATTGAAAGTAATGATCCTGTTATTGAACACATGTCATAGCAAATGTTAACACAACTCAATGCATTTTTCTACATTATCACTTAATGTAAACAAAACAAAGTGCTCAAATACTTGCATGTCTATGTTCTAAAATTGTTAACTGTAAAACAATGTTCCATATACCATTAATAAAGGTATTTGATATTAGAATTTGTAACAAGAGTTAGATAAAAATGTCACTCCATTGTTGTTATAATTCTTTATAGTTTATTTTATTGATTTTGACATACTTGATGATGTTTTAATAGATAATATATATATACACTCGATCTGAACTTTTCATAGATCTTCTCACACTAATGTAAATCTAAAAATTAGATTTAAACTTTTTATTTAACTTATATTTATAATATATATATATATATATATATATATATATATATATTAAAGCACATTAACTAAAACTAAATAGGAAAGAAATTCATATCATTATAATTCATCACAGGGATAGAACTTAAATAAAATTAAATTTTATATAAAGACTAATTTACAATTTTTTTTATTTATATTGAATTATAAAATAATTAATTAAATTTTATATAAGGACTAAAATATTATTTAAAAATTATATAATTAAATGAACAATAAAAAGGATAGGTTATGTACGTGTAATGTCACTTTTTTTATAAAAGATCTCAGTACAAGTGAAGAAATCCTTTTTTCTCATACCTTGAAGAATTCTTTCTCCATCTTTTATCATGTATTCAAATGAACGAATTTCACCCATGTTCCGTTTCTATCGTGATTTATTTCTTCCAAATCATGAATGGTACAACCACAATGCCAAGTTGAGTGAGTTTCGAATATCAAACTGCATAAATTAAACTTATCATCGACTATGCCAAGTTAACTATTATCAAAGTAAAGCTTATAAAAATTTAGACAATCTTTATCCTACGAAATAGTTTTTTGTGATTGAGTTAGAACAAATTCAAATTCAAGAAATATGAATATTAAAGCTATACAAATTTAATGTTGTATAAGTTGATAGAAAAATTAGTATAATGGTTTATAATATCGCTGTGTAATAATTTTAAAATATATGTTACTTTTTATAAATAAATTTCAAATATTTGCTATTACATAAATATTAATTATGTATTCAAGTGAAATACAAAAATCTATGCGTATAATAACTCGTAAGGATATGTAGTGATTTATTTGTTGAGTGGCTGTTACTTAAATCTTGGCTGAGTGTAGTCATTAGAAGTAAGTCTGCAATATTCATACAACAATTTTTTTTATATTATCACAACTTCTTTCTCACTCTCTTTATATATATATATATATATATATAATCATTAGAAGTAAGTTTGCAGTATTCATACAACAATTTTATATATATAATATTGTACAAAATATATTTCTCTTAAAAGTCTATTGAATATTTATATTTCTTAAATATCATTTTTCTTACTACTCTAAGTGATCGGAGAATTGTTTAATTTTTGTATTCTCAATCTAAGAGTTATTAATTTTTTTATTTGATATCTCAATTTAAATTTTTTTCAGTAATATCTTCATAAAATATTTCATTATCAAATGCTTCTTTTATTTATTTATTTTTCTATTTGATTCCTTTAAATATTATGATTTTTTATTTAGTACTCCATATTGCAAACTAAATAAAAATGTCATACTTAAATAGATCGATTGAGAATTGAAATTTTTTAAAAAATAATACTATTATTATTTTAATGAAAACTTCATTTAAAAAATTTAAAAATAAAGAATCAAATTAAAAAATTATAAATTTTTTAATGAGTAAAATTTTAATTCTATTCTTTTTTTTTCTAATTTAATTAGGAAGAATATGGTGGCATTGACAACTTTTTGTCCACAGGCCCTTTTTCAATATCAAGTCAAAACAATCATATAAATGAGCTGGGGAATAAAATCTATAGCTCTTCATAGAATCTACTCATTCAGACATTATTAAGTGATAATAGGCCAACTGACCAGCCCTCATTTGACTATAGCAATTCAGCTTTAATACTAAAAACAAAACATTTCCACTATATCTTCAAGGATTTGATTTTATCTACACATTGAAATGGCAAAAGTTAACAAAACAATATGATTGAATTTTAGTCATCAACTTCTTCTATTATGCAACATGATCTTCGATGTTTAAACTATGATATATAATTAAGATTTAATCCATTTTTTGAAGAATCATTTGGATATTTAAAGCTTAATTTTGATTGAATCTTTATTCAATCGGCAGTTAACAGCAGTACGTTGACACATTTACTGGCATTGGTTTTAAGCTATAAGCTGAGGGAGATAGAAGATGCCAACTTCAACCCTGTTCTTCTTGCTCTAATAACAAGTTTTGTTTCACTTGAAGCATAAATTTAAGTCTAAAAGGCAGTAGGAGAAGAAATTTTCATCATATGGCACCGAAGTGCAATTAAAGGAAAAATGTTCAAGCATTATGTAAGCTCTTTTATTGATATAGTATTTGACTATTAGACATAAATCAAATAAACAAAATATACGTGTAGTTTAGGGAAGAACAATACAAATTCTACCCCAGAAAAATAAATAAATAAATCATGTCAAGTTATCATGCTCAATGACTTGTGCTCCTCTCCATTCTTCACCCGGATTCACAGTCACAGGCACCAAAAGTGAAGCTGGCCCAGTGCAGATGAAGTAGTCCTTTCCATATTTCTCGTACAAGGAACCAGGGCTGCATACATAAATATCCTCAAAACCCATTCTTATCACTCTGAAGAAAATCTCACGTCCCTGAAAAAACCAACAACTATTGTATAAAAGCCTTCACTAAATATGATACATGAAAATTTGAAGTGCAAAGCTAAGAGTCCTTAGTGTAAATCATTCTAACCAACCTGGTCAATGGTTTCATACTTGGAAGGTGTAGAGTGAAAAAATGCCTTTGATCTTTGGTCTGGAGGTACAGCATATACTCTACTCATCTTATTCTCAAGAAGGGTAAGAGACAAACCTTGCTGAGTCCACGTCCCAGGCTTCACGTCAGGTTCAGCACCAAAAGAACACCATCTACGAGGCTCATATATCATTGCTTCTGATGGAGTCAAGATTTGAAAAGGAGAAGAGAGAGGAGGGTGTGAGCAGAATGAGCAGCTTCTGAGACCTTTAATTCCTGTCCCTCCTCTTTTCTTAGATCTAAAATGGCTTAGTATAGCATTGTTTAGAGTGACAGGCTTGGGGGCTTTGTTCTTAATAATAACTGCTGTGGCCATGCTCACTGGATAGAGTGTCACAATGTAAGTGATGTCAAAAAATTTACTAGTGCAGCTCAATTCAACCTGCAGGGTAAGAGAATAGAAGAAAGCAACAAAAAAGAAAAGCCAAGTTTCAGTGTTTCGCAGTGAAAAGAAGACTAGGTGTCTCTTGGGATATATTTTATCAAAATAAATTGTTTTTATCTTATTTTAATCAGTTTCATCGTATTGTTTAAAATTAGTTTATTAAACAAACATTTAAATAAATTGTGTATCCAAACGCACCTGATTCTTTGGTTGTGTTGTGATAAATGATAAGGTAACTGATAATTGAGAAGCATATAGCAGCAAAAGGGTACCTGAAGAGCATCTATGGCATCAGAGTCAACATCATTTACAGTCCACTCTAGAGTGGGAGGGAGTAACCCTTTGGCTCCAGGTTGAAGTACTTCATTCATGACCAAACCAACACCACCTTTGGCTTTGTAAAGGCCAGTTTCAGTTGCAGGAATTGTGTAAAGAACCTCCTGGTAGCCGTCATCTTTCCAATAAACTTTTGGTTTGTAAGATGTTACATGAGCATCAGGTATCCTTAGGCTCAAGGAGCTACCATCTCTCACTGTCATCTCAACAATGGGAATGTTATCAGACTCCAAGAACTTGATGCCTTTTCTACCAAATTTCTCATTGAGTGACTCAGCAGTGGGAAGAGTGGCTATAGAGGTATTAGCTGTTGATGAGGCCTTTATTAAGTTTAGTTTGGGAAGAGATAAAGAAAGAAAAGAAGCCATCGAGAGTTGGAAAGAAGCTCCTTTAACAGCTTCCACACAGACTAGTGATGAGCATGTTGTTGCTAAGGCTCACCCTTAACTGCACACAACTGTGTCTTTGGATTTTTATTTTGGATAAAAGTGCAATTTTTGTTGGCTTTTTGCTTACTCTAAAATGGGAGACTTCATGTTTTCAAGTCTAGTTTTGATTGTAGAAGTCCGAACGGGCAATGAATATCTGCTTTCTCTTGAATGGGTCAATTCAATAATTCCTAAAAGGACAAGAAATGCAACTCAGCACTGCCACAAATCTTCCTTGTTATCCATTTTGGCTTTTTTATTTTTACTGGACTTTTTTCTTCTTTTCGGCTACTGCTGGGGAAAGACCACTCATTTCTTTCAAGTAACTAAATTTACTTTGTTGAATTGGTAATTAAATCCAACACATTAGAAACAAATAAGGTACATTAATGTTTGGAAGTGAAAATATAACATGAATTTACTTTTTTACCCCTCTCGCGTTAAGGCCTGTTTCAATTGTGGGTTTGTCCTTTAAAAAGATTAGAACAATTAAATATGATGACAGAACAAGGCTTATGTGTGGCTAATGTTACATAATCAAAGCTGATTTTAATAATAAATGAATGGTTAAGATTTAATTATTTTCAAGTAAATTTCTTAGGTAATAACAAGCTATAGTTGAATAATGAATAACAAATGAGTAAATAGTCACTCTTCCTTCACCTCTCTTCCTCTTCCAATCTGTGTCATTTTTTCATTGTCAGCAGCATAGATTGAAAACTCGCCCTAGACTTTTTTTGCTTTGTTGTTCTTTTTCTTCCAAACATGGCAGGAAACATTTTACACTTAGTTCATTCAAAATTGTAGAACCAATAATTACCAACAATTATCTCCTTTCTAAACTATGAATTACGCGAATTTTTAATATCCACAACAATAGGCTTTTTAAAAGGTATTTTTTTTAGGGTAAAAAAAAAATAAAACCATTTAGTTGAGAAGGTGAAATACAACTAGAGTTAATTAAGAAAAACTCATTAATTTAAATGACAATTTCATGTTCATTTAACAAAATTAAATTAAAAGGTCAAGTTTAAATTAGATAAAACTTAAATTTGTTGATGTTATTAAAAGTAAAATTAAAGTTTGTAATGAACAAGTTGAATCAAACTAAATTATGAACGACTAGTATGACATATATAAAATTATTTTATAAAAGAACCATAAAAAAATAGATTTTTTTAAAGCACTACTTTTTATCTTAGTTTTCAAATAAAAAAAATTTAAAACATTACTTTTTACTTCAGTTTTCAAATAAAAAAATTTTAATTATATTATCTTTAAAGTCATAAATTTTAAAAAGACATAACTTTTAATGTAGAACTTTAATTTATATAAATTATATATATTTAATATAACTTTTTAAGATCTATTCGACATTTTAAAATTTAGATTAACTAAATTTTAAAATTTTAATACTTTTTAACCTTTTTGTATTTTTTATATAAAAAGTGACTGTCATATGTAAATATTTTAGATATACATCAAATTATTAATATATATTTTAATAAATTTAATTTGTATCACTAATTTTTCGTTTTATATTTTTAATCATCCAGATTACAAACTTTTCTAAAGACATTTTTGAATCTAACACTTTATCTCTCCCTCCTAAAGGACTTTAGGTGACACTTTAGTTTTCAACATTTCATTTTTACATGTTCCACTCGACTAACCAAGCCAACTAGTCGATTTTGGAACAGATATGCTCATCAGTTGGAAGCACGAAACTGATCACAAAGATCGAAATGGATACACATTGTAAGCATAACTTTGTTGCTTGAATGTGGCTTAAAAAAACCTGGTATTCTAGTGGTTTGTTTCTAGGGGAAAATTACCGTAAAATATTGTAGGGAAATACTAAAGGAAAGAAACTCATTAACCAAATTGAAATTAGTATCAAAATTGATTCATTAACATCATAGCAAAGCTTAAAAATTCTTTACTATATATAATGCAAAATATAAATATTTAGTTTAAAGTTCTTTTGACTTACCATATCTATGACTAAACCAGGCACATCTTATTAAACGAGACCAACAAAAAAAAAAAAAAGAGCCTAAATCAGATACTCCGCTCCAAACTAAGATCAAATAAGCAGGGATAACTTGAAACTCAAAAAACACCACCATTACTACCTGACTAAAGGAATAGGGGAAAAAAACAAACAAAAATAAGCAAATGATTGTCACTGGTTTAACAGCTATTAGAAGAGTTTTCAAGTACTGTAGTCGATCCATTCCCTTCTAAAAGCCCTTCCGCATTCATTCTTCCTTCTGTTGAACTTGGAGTAGCTGATTCATTCATCAAGGTCGAATCAAGAGACTTAGGTAATGTGACTGTCCCAATTGTTAAATCACTGGGCTTACTGACCTGTTTTGAACAAAATATTAATAAGGTTTAATCAATGACATGATCCTCGATTTAGCTGACATGTAGGAGGAAATTAATAAAAGGCAGCACTGAAAAATTTAGGGCAACATGTTAAATGTTCAACTTGTAGTACCTGATGTAAAGGCAAGTATTTTACCTGCTGTTCATTAGATTTTTTCTCCTGAGTCGCCTTTTCACGAGCCTCATAAAACCCAAAATCATCCAAGATGCATGTTTTGCTCGAATGCTCCTTGAAAATTTTGACAATTTGAATACCCTTCTCAAATTTAACCTGCAGAAGGACATATATAAGGTTCAAGCTGAAAGGAAGAGAGGGGTTCATGAGGTATAATGAATTAAACCACTAAGGAAATACCTCCTGAGTATCCCTACTATTTGTTACAGGTTTGTTTTCATTGTTCTCTAGTGTGATGTGCCTCAATGCACTATTTGGAATATCCTTTATGACATGCCACTTCACAGAAAAGCAACCAGTCCACCTGTCCTGCTGCCAATACTCTACAGTTTTACCAAAATCAACAGGACCCACCATCTCTGCTAAGCCAACAAATTGCCCACTAGTGTTCACCTGTAGCAAAACATGAATGACAAAACAAGCAGATTAGAGAAACCACAAAAATCTAAGAATTTACCAATTAAATGCTGCATATGATACTAACCGAAAATAACAAAAATATGGGACAGCCACCAGGCTTCTCCTTGGCTTCATGATATGCTGCATCCAACTTTTTATTGCCGTTAGGGGTGCTAGCCCAAACACTATATTTTACGCTTTTATGAATATCATCCTCGCTATAGGATTTGATGACAAAAAATTTTGCATCAAAATGATTCTCAGAAAAATCTTCCCCAGTGTACTGTTCCTTATTGGGAACCAGAGAAACTTCCTTTTTGTCGCTCTTTGCTGGAAGGTTCTGTCCTTTGAGTAATAATGTGACAGGTCCAAGACTTTTGATATTTCTGTTGTCAGAACTCTTGGCAGCTCTGGGTCCTTTATTTAGCTCACTGAAACCGTCCATATTTTTTTTAAAATGGTTAGCACCCCAGCCATCACTTGTAGCATTAAGCTTGTTATTAACAGAGCCTGTTCTAGATCCATATGCAGCAGATCCAAAACGAGGATTAGCCCTAAATGGATTTCCATATTGATTGTACATTCTGCTGCTTGGATACATCCCGTTCATGTATCCGGAAACCAGTTCTGGTCCAGATGGATGTCTGGAACTATTGAAGTTCTGCAATTAACAAATCATATTTAAGTTAAATTTGAATTGATTCTGCACACACAAACAACGATGTTGAACTAATACTCAGAGAAAGAGAGGATAGATGTCAAATATAATGCAAAAATGATTAAAACGTATCACAACAGCAATACTAATAAGAATTACAAGGGGCAACCTAGTGCACAAGGCTACCAGATCCCACCTAGTGAGATTTAGGGAGGATAGATGTACCCAGCCTCACTACCACAAGTAGAGAGACTATTTCCAGGATTGATCTTTTGACCTCTAGGCTCTAGGTCATGAGAACCATTACAGGCTTGCCCTAACAGATATGACAAAAATAAAATAAATGGCAAGTTGGTCCATGAACATAGAATTAATTTGCTTGAACACATTCAATTAAAACTCAATCTATGGTCTCATTGCCAGACCTAAACCCAGGTAAAGAAGGAGGGTTATGTTCAGCTCTTAACAACCAACGTAAAACTTGTTGAAACCTATATATACACATTCAATTAAGAATCTACAGCATACAAGTTTAGATTAAAGATTTTTATGGTGTCAAGGGAGAAAAAACAAGAAATCAATTATTCCAAGCTCTCTTAGTCTGCATGGGCAATCGCATTCACAAAAAGGGGTGACCAATCTAACATACCGTAAATTGTGGAAGTGACTGAGGATGCCTTTGATTCTTTTGAGATGTAAAATCTTTGAAAGGCACCACTGGTGAAGATAATCCAAACTTGGCTCCATGTTTTGACTGTCTATCAGAAACTAATGACACGTCTGAAGGGACTGTCGACTGTGTACCATGAGTACTCGTTCTAGGACCTTGATATCCTGGCAGAGGAGAATAAGCTGGCAAGCTAGTCCCTAGATAAGAATCATTTGTATTCAAAGATGTGGACTGGGAACTTGTTAAATATCCCTTTAACCCGTTGTCATTTGGAAAATCACCATTGTTCATGCTAACAGCGTTTCCTTTATTCATAACATTTGAGGAAGGAAGGTGATCAGCATCAACTGTAGTTGATATTTCTCCATGTGGAGCACTGATTTTGTTTGGAGTAAACGATACATCAGCAGAAGCAGGAGATTTGTAATAAGAACAAGGATACTGGTACTGTTGCAGCCCATAGAGCTGGCCATCCTGTGGAATGGTTGGAGAAGAGGAATTGGGCTGTGCATACGCTGCATATGGTGTGTAACCATAACCTTGATGGTACATATAAGAGCAGCCATCCGCATAAACCCCCTGTCGTTAAATCAAACAAATAAACTTTCATACAATTTGATAAATGATATTTACTGATAGCATAAAAAAGAAATACAATCATCACAAGTCTGGAAATCAGAGAACAAGGTACTTACTTGAGCCATCCCTCCATCAAGGTTCATATATCTGGAATAAATATTCCAATCGCCTTGCCCTTCGTAACCTGAAAAAACAATCAACATCATGCCAATTTCCCAAACGAATAATGCAAGCCATTCAAATATTTAATTCACAGTGTTTGCATCACTTTGTGTAATCAATCACACACACACACACACACGCATATTCAAAAGCCATGACAGCTTACCTTACCTCCATAATAGTATGCAGTAGAAGGGTATCCATTTGGAACAAAACATGGATTCGGATTAAACGGCTTGGCCATTCCCTTAGCAGCATCATTGGAAAAAACAGGTCCATTCTACACTCAAATAGACAACAATAACCAGTTAACATTGTACAATGCCAAGCATTCCACTCCACCTTTTTAACTACTTTACAAACCATCAGAAAAACATGAAGCAATAAGATGAAGAGTACCTTCTTGGCAGGCTCAGCAACTCCAATACTCTTGGACTCAGAATCCAGGGACAAATTCTGCAGTAAATCTGTAGCTTCTGAAGAGTATGATCAAGGAAAATCATTCACTTTCAACAGAAAAAACTATTCCCAATCACAAAACTAATAAAGAATTTAAAAGAAAATTTATATATATGCACATAATAAGAGGGTTTTGACTTTTGAGCAATTAAGCACTAGGTTTCAGTTATGAACTACACGTCTTAAAACCAGCGATGCGTAAGTGAGATTATAGATAGCAGGCATAGAAACTCTTCCTTATCAATGAATTATACACACAAGTGCAATCAGATGAAGGGAGAAAACCCACATGTAGCAAAAGATGTACAAGCATAGCATTGGAGAATTTAAAAAAAAAAAAAAAAAGATAGAAACTTGATGTAATGAGCAACGCAGAAACACAAAGAGCAGTGTTTGGAAGAAAAAGGATACTGTCAGAAGGAGCAACAGGTGCCATGATCGAATTGAGAGAGAGAAAGAGAGAGAGAGAGAAGGGTCGCCGCCAAGTCCGTGTTGTTTGGGGTTTTAGAGTGACAGGGAGAGAGAGTGAAGAAAGATTTATGGAAGATGGTATTTATAGATAAGAAAAGGTTGCTTACTTGCGCTTGCGCCTCTTCGGTATAAGCAAATTAGGTGCTTTATTTCCACCCAAAAACAAATTAGAATATAATCGTTTATTTGTCAATCATGCAGTCGATTAAACCCTTTTATAAGAGAAAGCTTATCCGATTCAATTTTATTGTTTTTTCTTTTATTTTCATATCCATCCGGATTCATTATGGAAACAAATTTAATTTGGTGATCTAATTTAATTTAAATTGATTTTGGATTGAATTACATCTTATATAAAGTATTCGGGAGTTTTTTAATTTTTATTTTGAATAAAAAAGTTTAAAATAAAACAATTTTGATTAAAATTAAATTAAATTGGTTTATAATTTATTTTTAAATTTTTTATTTTTAAGATAAAAATAAGTAGATTTAATTTTATTGTTTAATTATAAAAATTTATTGGTTTAAATTAAGTTTTAGTCTCTAAAATTTGTGATTTTTCAATTTGCTCCATCCTTTTATTTTTTTTAAATAAATTTACGTTTTTAAATAAATTTTTAGATTATAAAATCACAACGCATGAATTGAAATTTAGAAATATAAAGGAATGAAAAGGAAAACGTTACGCCAACTCTATGTCATACTATGAGTTAAATGTTACGTAATAAAGCATTAAGAAATATGGTATAAAACAATAACTTTTTTGGAGATTTATTTTAAAGATAAAATAGAATGAAATATTAAATAAAAACATTGTAATTTTTTAAAAACTAAAGCCTTATTTAAACTAAAGTTATTTAATTATTTTATCTTAAATAGTACTATTATTTCTATTATTATTATTATTATTATTATTATTATTATTATTTTAACTAACTAATATCACTTATTCATTTATTATTATTATTATTATTTGTTTATTTTATTTTTTACGATAATAAGTTCAAATTATATTTTAAATTATCCTAATCTAACTTATTATCATGTTTTATTTTAAAATATATACCTTTTTTTTTCTAACAATGAAGTATTAGCAATAGAAATGATTAACTTAATAGATTTTATTTTGCATAATACTATTGTGCCACACTTATCATATGCAAGATAAATAATAATAGTCATTATTTTTTAAATCTCGTTTGTAAAGATAGATAAAAAAAAAATACAATCAAAGGATGAAATTATTATAAGCATCGTCTCAATTCAATAGTTAAAATACTTCCATATATCTTTATATATTGATATTTAATAAATTACAATCCTTGTCACATATTAATACTTTTTTACTTTTCACCTTAAAAATGTAACATAAAGTTGATCATAGATAAAAACTAGCTTATGTAAGAATAAACTTACATTTCTTAAAAACTAGTTCTTATTAAGTGTCATTACAATTTTATAAAGCTTGGAACAAGTAGAAATTATTTGCATTAAAATTTAAAAGACTATGAATAGGTGGTATGAGTGCTATTTGTTTGATGTTATTCCTCATAATATTTTAATTTCTATAACATAAGAAGTTATCATTGCGACAACTAACCTTTTATTGTTGCAAAGCTCAAAAGTCTTATTGATATTTTTTAACAAAAATAAAGTTAGGAATAAGAAAATAAGAGAAAATGGTTGAATATGTTTTCTTAAAAACTTTTGAAATCTAAAAAACCTAGTTAACTTCAAAACAATAAAAAAATATCTTTAGTTGACAAAAAGTATTGTTCGACATATAGTTTAAATTTTATTTTATTTTCTACTAATGAAACTAACAGTGTTAACTTTAATTGCATATTAACCTCTAATTTATTTATTAGTTTTAATTCATTTATATTTTATATAATTAGGAGTTGAGTTATTAGTTTTTATATCATCAATTCATTATCCATCTTTATTTCTTTTTTTTTTAGAGATTTTTGTTTTTTGTTTTTATCCTCATCATTGAAAGAGGATTTTTATACTCGCTCTTCTTAGTGAAATTATATTGCTATCATTTTACTTTAGTTCTTGTAATTCTTCAATTGATTTTAATCTCGTGCTTTAACATAGTACATATACCTTAATAAGTGGTATCAGAGCACTTATACAATTAAGAATTTATCATATCTGACGGTTATTAAGTTTAACATGGAGAAGTTTGATGAAAAAATTAGTTTTACCATTTGGCGAATCCAAACGAGAGTCATTCTTACTTAGAATAAATTAAAGAAAACTTTGGATGAGAAGTCAAAGAAACTAGCTTTCATGATTGATGAGCAATGAGACGAGTTGGATGAGAAAGTGCTTTTGACTATTCAATTTTGCTTGTCTAAGGAGGTTCTTCATGAAGTAGCTAGTGAAACTATTGTTGCAGCGTTATGGACTAAATTGGAATCTTTATGTATAACGAAAAGTCTTGCAAACAATTTTTGCCTTAAAGAGCACTTGTATACTATCTGTATGGCTATAGGTACTCTTATTAAATCTCATCTTAATAAGTTTAATTCTATAATTATAGATTTAACAAATATTAAAATTTTGATTAACGATGAAGATAAAGTTGTTTTTGTTGATTATCTCCTTACCATCTACCTAGAAATATTTCAAAGAAATAATATTATATGGTCAAAATGTACATTATCCTTTAAAAATGTGAAATTAAATTTATTATCTAAAAATATTTGATCTTGAAATTCATTCTAAAGAATATAAGTTTCAAAAAGTTTAGGTTCAAACTTAGAGGCTACAAAACCAACAAAACTTGTCGCTATTATAAGAAATGAAACATAACATTTCTTATTGTTTTATCTTGAAGAAAAGAAAAAGCAAGGAAAGGAAGAAAAAAGAAACATCACTAACTTGTCAAGACTAATATTGGTGAAACTAATTATGACGATAATCTATTATTAGTTTTGAGAAAAAGGAGTAACTTCAAATGAATTATTTACTACAGATGTACTTTTCATGTGTGTCCTTATAAGGACTTATTTGCCACTTTTGAACTTATTGATAGTGGATTTGTCTTAATGGATAATGATGCTTGATGTAAGATTGCTGGAAGTGGTACAATTCAAATCAAATCTCATGATAGTATGCATTGACTAAAGTTTGTTTTGTTCCAAACTTAAAATGTAACTTAATTTCTATTGGCACCTTTGAGTTTCTTGGGTAAATACTTAGCTAACAGTGGAGTTTTAAAGGTATCAAAAGATGCCCTTATTTTGATGAAAGTCAACAACATTGGTAGCTTGTATATCTTGCAAAGTTCTATCATGATAAGTTCAACAATCATATCTTTTTTATTGTCTAATTTTGACATCACCAAATTATGACACATTTGCCTCGATCATATAAGTGAAAAAGGCATGCATCTCCTAGGTAAGCAAGGTTTTCTTACTAAACATTACATTATATTAATAAGTTAGAGTTTTGTGAGCATTTCATTTTTAGGAAGCATAAAAGAACTAATTTTCTTTATTACAACTCACTATTCAAAAGACATTATTTATTATATTTACTCTAATTTTTAGAGTCTTTCTAAAGTATCCTCTAATGTAGAACTGACATATATAATGATAACTGTTATTTATTTTTTATAAAGTTTAAATTTGCTTTCTAAAGTATAAAAATAAGACTTTCCCACTTTTAAGTTTGATCTTACTCTTTTAGGATAAATTTGCTTCATTGATCAACTTTTTGCTTTTATACTTTATCTTACTCATATTATTAATTTAAGATAAATAGTTGCTACATAATTTTTTATAAGTAGTTAATTTCTTATAATTTGCTTTCAAATCATCTAGCCTCATAAATCATCTTATAAATAATTACTTATTTTTAAAACTTAATAATATTTATAATCACTAAACCATATTAACATATTAAGTTGTCTTTTACTTTATAATAGTGTTTTAAAAATTAAGTGTAGATTGAATCATTTATATAAGAGTCCATTATTATGTATCTATGTAATAACACTTATTTTACCTCATATTTATCTTTCATCCTTATATCTCCATCACAATTATAGAAAAATTTATATATATACATATATATATATATATATATATATATATATATATATAAAACTAACCTTCGTCAAGAACTTTAATTGAATTTTTATTTTCACTTATTCAATGATAAAAATTGACTGAATAAGATTTTTTTTTAACTTTAGAGTAAATTAATAATTTTAATTTATATATATATATATATATATATATATTGAAATACTAATCTTAAATTTAATTCATTTTTATAAGTTAACATATTAAATAAAACAGACGTAGGAGATATATAAATTGCGTGATATAAATACGTATCTTTAAATGAGAATTTAAAATTTAAATGTGTTGAACTTTAAAAAATCAATAAAAATATCTTATTTAATTTTAATTAGGCCATCTGAATTTTAAAATAAGCAATATTAAAATTAATTTTATAATTTGGAATAACCATTACTGAAAATATTAATTTTTTGCTAATATTGAAAATATTAATTAACATTAATGTAGAAAATTTTTAAATAATTTTTAAAATAAACATTGAAATATATACTTTTAAATATAAAAAAAACTCTCAACTTAATCATAAAATATACTGCTATATATAATTTGCAAGTGCTAATTTTTAAACAAGAATGTTTTCACTAATTATTTTAAACAAGAGAAATTTTTTACGTATTATTTTTTTATGTCTTTTTAATTAAATCTTAATTTAAAATCTTATTTTTAAATTTTAAAAGCATGTATTTTTACAAACAAAATAAGACATTTATTAGTAAAAATTGGTCATCTTACTCTTAAACATAATTCAAATAGATTTTTTTTTTATTAATCACATTATATTTCTTTAAATATTATTTACATATATATATATATATATATTATTTACTTGTTCTATATATATTTTTTCTTTTTTTCTTTTGTCTTTCATTATTAAACCACCCCAAATAAAAAGAATGAAGTTTTCAATATATAACTGCTTACACTTCGTCCTTGCAATATCAAACAAAATAAAATAATTTAGAAAAGTTTAAAAGTTAAGAAGAGTCTACGTATAATTGTTTTAGTCATTAT